TGTTGTAATTCCTACACCGTTCACCTGAGTTGGATGTACATACCCTCAAATTAAAGCTGATTAATTTAAAGCAAATTAAAGTCTGCAGTTAACACACATTGTGTTTGTTTCATTCCAAATCCATTGTGGTGGTGTATAGAGCCAAAGATGTTAGAATTGTGTCGATGTCTCAATATTTTGTGTTTTGGATGGCTTGTGTCTCTAACAGACTGTTGTGTGGTACTAGATACCCTCAAATTAAAGCTGACAGTCTGCAGTTAACGCACATTGTGTTTGTTTCATCCCAAATCCATTGTGGTGGTGTATAGAGCCAAAGATGTTAGAATTGTGTCGATGTCTCAATATTTCTGGACCTGACTGTACATACAGTATTGCAACCTAATACTGAATTACAAATTGCGCTAAACCATCATCTGCTTTAACTGTGATTTTTTGAATAAACAGCAATGGCTGTGATTACACATCACATAAACCATAGGGTTTCAAAACAATGGCTGGATTCATGCAACATACTAAACCAAAACTGAACAAACCATACTGAGGGCTTAGTGTAAAGTGCGAACCCAACTACATGCATTTTCATTTATGGAGATCTAGTACCACACAACAGTCTGTTAGAGACACAAGCCATCCAAAACACACAGCCTCCCCTCCAGGCTCCTCTCACCCACAGTGAACTGAAAGTTGTCTCTCTGACTTTGTCAGCCACTGGAGAACATAAGGGGAATGGGAGGCAGCTGGCAGGAAGCTGTTCCTCCAACTGACAGACAAAGGTCAGAAGTGACACATAAGCAGATGGGAAACACACAGCTTCAAACTGTGAGGTAGAGGGACTGAAGAAAAACTTGACTACAATGCTTCGTGACCTGTGCCACAATTTATCTGATACTCCTGTCAAGGGAGCTACCAATGACAACACAGTGTTTTGACATGTCTAGCAATAAACATTTATCATAAGCATTTCCCAACTGTCAGGGAAACTTGGTTCTTGCCTTCTAAAACCCTGGCCAATGAATGCAGAAGTACTGTACTCAAATAGCTAACACAAAATCCTTATTTTTTTTAAAAAATCTTATCTATCAATCATCATCAACCTGGAGAAAATCTATCTATACAATCACTAAGAACTGACACTGACTTGACACATAATAATAATAACAACAACAATCATTGACCATAAATTTAAAAACCCCAATAAAATAGGCTACTTACTCTTATATATTGATAACTGCAATGATTCCAATTTCCTGAAACCTCCATAACACAATTGTTTTAGCTAAGGTCCTAAGAGCCATTGAGATCAAAGAATATGTAGAGGAGAGCTTATCTGGGTTGCCCAAGACCTCAATGTATTCTTACCCTACATGCTTATTCTCCTGATGGAACCTAAGAATTTGAAAATCTTTTGTACAGCTTTGTTTCAGACCTGTGTTAATCCTTACCACCTCACAGGCATCTTATCAGCCTATTAGTCCTATACATCAATTACACTTACAA